CCCTCTCGCTTTGTGCGAGTTGAGGGTTGCTCTGTCCCTTTGTCTCAGGGTGACTCTCCTTGTTTTTGCCTCCGTCATGCTGCCTGTTGGGTCAGTGACACATTCGACCCTGAGTCCTGCGAGCTTTGTTGCTTGTTCGTGACTCCATTCACCCAGTCTGCTGATGAATTCCCGTGGGTGCAGGCAGGTCGCGCGTTGCGGGGTAGGTTGCTGCAATGGACTTGGGTTTGTCGCTTCCCCGGATGCCCCGTTGCTGCCCTTCTTTGTGTAGGGACCCAGACTTGGGGGTTTTGGTCACTTCGGCCTTGGTTCCTTCCACGCCCCCTTGTTTTTCCCCCTCCTGCTTCCGGCCCCTACGCATGTGCAGGCTTCGGTGTCGGGGCGGGGTTAGAGGTTCTGAGACTTGGGCAGTTTCGGGGGTTGCCCCGTTCGGGGTAGTTGTGGAGGCATTAGAGTCTGTTCCTCCGACCGGGGTCTGACCAGTGGGCCCCTTATCTTCCAGCTCTCTCAGCTGCCCCGGCTTTTTCTTGTGGGGCCGGGGCTTTGGAGGTCGACTCGGCCCCGGGGCCTGGTGTAGAGGCTCCTGGGGTTGGGGAGCAGCGGCCTTGGGGGCCTTGGGCTCCATTGCGCCCCGCCTGGATTTCTGTCCTTCTGAGTGGGGCTTACTGTTGCAAGGAGTGGGGTTTTCTTATCCCCCTCTGTGCACGATTTGGGCTTGGGTTCTGCTCCTCCCCAGGTTCGGTTCTGTGTCCCTGTGGTTTCTTCGGTTCCGTCTTCCGGAGGTTTTCGGCTATCCGCATCTCTTCGCCTGCAGTGCAGTTGGCCTTTGCGGCTTACCTCCTGCGTGTCCCAGAGGTTGACTCCATACTGGTTCCTTCTGTTCTGGTCAGGTTGGGCTCCTTGTCGCCGTTTGGGCTCCTTGTCGCCGTTTGGGCTCCTTGTCGCCGTTTGGGCTCCTTGTCGCCAGTTGGGCTCCTTGTCGCCGGTTGGGCTCCTTGTCGCCGGTTGGGCTCCTTGTCGCCGGTTGGGCTCCTTGTAGTCGATTGGGCTACTTGTCACCAGTTGGGCTGCTTGTCACTGGTTGGGCTACTTCTCGCCTTGTTGGGCTACTTTTCTTTCGTGTCCTGTGCATGCGCCATGGGAGTTTGTTTTGGTTCCGGGCGGTGTGTGCACGTGTTGATGTTCTGCATCCATTTTCTTTTGGGGGGGGGGGGGCTTCACCTCTCGCCCTTTTCTTTCTCCAATCCGTGCCCCGTTGCTTTAGGGGTGTTCTGGAGTGCCGCTGTGGGGAAGTCACAAGGTTTTTCCCTGCATTTTAGGGTGGGGAGCCTCCTTCACTGCTCCCCTCCTCCTCCTCCTCCGGCATGGGCGCCCTTGCCGCCTCCGGCGGCTACGTTCTCATAGGCTTGCATAATGGCCCTTCAGCGCCTATGTTCTGTAAGTGAGGTGGTGCGGTCTGGCGTCTCCTGCGTCCTGACGCTGTTTTTGTTTTTGGAAGTAGGAATGGGTGTACATACGTACTTGAGAACGTGGACTGTACCAACCAAGGTGCCTACTGCAGGGCTATTGGTCCATACAGGGCAGCTCTTGTTCTCACCACTTGATTCCTTCCTCAGTTCATGGGTGACTGTGGGTGGCCTCTTGGCCCTTCCGAGGCGGCTCCTGCCTGTACTCATCCTGCCCCTCTCCTATGCTTGTCTAACCTTGCTTGAGTTCGGGGCCCCGCCTCCACCTTGTTCCACGGTGCAACGGTGGGGGGTGTCTGTTCGGTGGTACGCTTTCCTGTGTCGAGGGAGTTTTGTGCTCGCCTCCTTGTGCTTGCAGGATTGGGTTCTGGCTCTTTGGTTCCGCCTCTCCCCTGTCGTTCGCCTGACGAGCAGATTCTGTGCTTCATGGGCGCTCTCGTCTCTGCTCTTGGGGCTGTGTATGGGGTCAGCCCATGTTGGGCTGTCTAATGTGTTCCTTCAATTGCCTGTTACACTGCACACGTTTCTTCTACCGTCCCTGTAGCTCGGTTGGGTACTCGGTTTCCGCCTGTGTCCCCTTGTGTGCCACTCGTGTTACGATTTATCTTTATCTTCCCTGTCGCTTCCTCGGGGAGTGTGGTGATGTTTTGCTGCGGTTTTGGTAGTGCGGCTGCTTGTAGGGGTTGGTTGTGGCATTTTGTTCGGTCCTTCCGTGCTCCCTCTGGGGCCCTCCTTCCTTGCCGGTCTTGCTGTGCCGGGCCTGGTTTTTCCATGTTCCTTGGATTCTCTGTCCTGTCCTCGTCCTCGCCTCGTTGTGCTGGCTGGGGATGAGCTTGGGGTCTTCGTCTCGCTCCTCGCCTATCCTCCGGTTTCGGTTCAAGTTCCAGAGCCCAGTGGGCTCCCCTCCTTCGTGTTTTTCACGGCTGCCCCAGGGTTTTTCTTGGCGTTGGGGCTTTGGGGGGACAGCTCAGCCCCGGGGCCTGCAGGGTGGGTTCCTGGGGTGGGGCTAACGTGGGGGCCCTCAGGCCCCATTGGTCCCCGCCGGGGTTTTTCTACCCCTCTGGGCGGGGCTTGCGGTTTTGTGGAGTGGGGTTTTTCCGTTCCCCCTCTCTACACGTGCTTGTTGGGCGTCAGCCCCTCCCTGGGCTCGGTTTCCTTGTCCATTATCCCCGTTGCTTCCGTCCTGTCGGTGGGTGCTTTTCTACGGTCTTCGCCCCTTTTTTCCGGGATGGGCCTTCTCCGTCATGTCCCCCTCTTCTTGGGGTTCTGCATGACTTTTGGTCTCGGGTGCGACGGGGTTTTTGTGCCTTTGTCCTTTGTGTTCTTTTGTTCATATCTCTTCTCTTAGCGCTGTCTCGGTGCTGCTCGTTTTCCTGGGGGCGATTTTGCTCCTCTTAATGAGTTTCTTTTCGCTCCTGCCCTTCTGTGGGATGTTGGTGTGGGGCGGCTCCTTGTGCGGGTTCCTTCCCTGTCGGCTGCACTTGTGTCGGTGGAATTGCACGCTTGTGGCATTTTGGTTTTGGTCCTGCATTTCTTTTCCCTCCTGGGGCTGTCATAGGATTGGCTTGCGGAGGATGTGGAGGCGCTTGGAGCCGTTCCTGGGTCTGGCACCTTGGTTTCGGCTGCTAGCTTTCGGTATCGATGTTCCTTTTGCGCCGTTTCGCAGGCTGTCTCGTGCGTTGTTTCACCTCCGGCCTGCTCATGCACTGCCTGTGCCGTCCTGGTCTTTGGACAGGGTGCTCTCCTGTTTTTCTTCTCCTTGGTTGTTGTGGCTCCTTCGGTTCAGGCTTGCTTTGCTACGGCTCTCTTTTTATGTTGGCATTGGCCTCTGGGGGTCGTGTGGCAGAGCTTCATGCTCTTCTCAGGCGCAGTGGTTTTTGGCTCCTATGGTTGTGGTCATAGGTTTCTTCGTCTGCGGCCGTTCTCCCTTTTTCTGGCGGATGATGTGCCTGCTGCTTTCCGGAGGGGTCCTTGGGTTGTTGTCTCGACTTCGCGTTGAGGAGTGGTTCACCGACCGCCTCCCGGGTATGTTCCCTTGTTTTCTTAGGTAGTCTTTGGTGAAGTAGCTCCGGGGAGCCGTAGGGGCTCCCCCCAGAAAAGCTACTTTGAATGTAATGAAACGCCTTTTTCTGGGTGAGTCCTGAAGGCTCCCCGGCACCCTCCCCCCCTCCGGTCAGTGTTTTTTTCGCGGTTTTGATATCCAGCCTCAGAACTGGGGCAGGGATCGCCAGCGCGGGGGTCTGGGGCTCCCCCTTCCCCCTCCCGGGGAGAGGGGAGCTGCGCAGACATGCGGCGCGGCTCGTGTGATGTCATGCTTGTTAGTTCATTTTTCTGGGGAGTTCTGTCCACTCGTTTGTCGATTTTTGTTGTTAACCAGAATAGGGGTTTGTTTTGTGGTGCTTACCTTTCTGGGTGCCTGTCCCGGTCGATGGCAGATATAGAATGCTCCAAATCACATGTGCAATTCTATGGGCCATTACTCCCCGTGGCTCTCTGAGGGGGCCAGGTTCTGGCTTGTGGTCCCCGGTAGGCCTTGAACTCCACCCACATCGACTGATGCAAAATAGTTAGGGTATCCATATCAGCCATGGATAGCTCTGGGGAGCCTCCGGGACTCGGCCAGAAAATGGCGTTTCATTACATTCAACGCTGGTTTTTTAATAACAACTCCAGTTCCCAGAATTGCTGGATTACAGAAAGGACACATACCTTGAGGTTACCTTGAGGTGTTTTCGGGGCTTAGCGTCTCCGTGGCCCAGTCGTTGACCAGGCCTCCTGGTTGCTGGACTGGTCGACCAGGCTGTTGGACGCGGTTGCTCACAGCCTCGTTGATGAGGTATCCTTTGGAGGTGTTTCTCAAGTTCTCTCTCAAACACTGTGAGGGGTCGACAAGTTATACCTCCTTACGTGAAGTGGAAGCGTGTTGAACAGTCTCGGGCCTCTGATGTTGATAGTCTCTCTCAGAGTACCTATTGCACCTCTGCTTTTCAACGTGGGTATTCTGCACATTCTGCCATGCCTCCTGGTCTCATGTGGTGTTATTCACTCAGACCATAATGACATGACCATAATTCCATAGAAGACATTACTGCAAGTACATTGGCAGTCGACAATAGAGGTGACATGGTCAGGAGGTCAAGAATAATAAGGGGATTAGACCCAGGATCCCCTTATTATTATTCTTGGCTCTCATTATTCATTGAGATGTAAGTCTCATCCTAACCACACACTCGAACCTTGACAAAACACTCAGGAGAGTGCAAAAGACTTGGTGTAAATTTCTTTACATAAATTTCACAAATACACAAGTGTGGGTTTTTATCTTATGTTACTATGTCTGTGAGAAGACATTACCATTACCTAATCATCACAATCATCATGTATATCAATCATCAGTCAACAATGATAACAGGCATCAATCATCAGAGTGAGGGAACTCATAAACATGGTGTGAGAGAGCCATCAAACACAGTAATCAGTCACATTCACCTTGGAAAGCAAGATGTCTAATAGTGGATGTGTTGGTAATGACAGGTGCAGGAGGCCATCAGGGAGACGTTGGAGATCATGAAGGCTGTGGCAGTGGCGAAAGCTCTCCCTGGCTCCCATAGTGATTCAACCTCAGACATTATGAAGAAAGTGGATCAGATTAATGAAGAAATCATTGAGGATCAGTTACCTGTAAGTTTATATTTATTCTGAATTAAGTATGTAATATTAATGGCAAGGTTAACTTTCTTACACTGACACATTGCTTTGGTAGGTTAGTGTTTGCATTTGATGTGATGGGGCCAGAGTGTGTGTGTGTGTATCTTGGTCTCTCAGTATACCAATACTGTACTGAAGTGGCTTCAGTACAGTTTGGACAGTACAGTTCAGTGGCTTCAGTACAGTTTGGACTTCGTTTGTACTCGGTGTGGGATAGACTGCCACTCTCGGATTGGCCTCATCAGTCACACCAGACGCTGCACCAGGATTGGCAACTAGGGCGCAACTCCATAGTCTCCCGAGACTGAAGGATACCTACTACTGAAGTGGCAGATAATAGGTTTATGAAATGATCAGTAGCAACAATATTTGCACAGTCTCTAATTTATTTTGTACATTTCTTGAGGAGTCAGTGGTTCCCTGAAGTTATCTCTCTGAGATGGCTCTCTCCTATCTGAGTCACAGAAGCCATATGAGTGCTATGTATGGCCAGTATACCGAGAACCACAGCCAGAACCTGGCCCCTCCCTAATGGAGACACAGAGAGCAGGGGAGCATTACAATCACCCTTACCAAGAAAACATTCAGAAAGTAAGCAAAACCATACACACATGTTCAAGGTTCAAAGAATATGAAGCACTGTAACAGCCAAATAACTCTACAAGCAGTTCACTCAGTCCCAAATGATTCGCTGGAAATGAGCTCTAACCCACCCTTTTCCCCTTTGTTGTGACTGGCTGCCAACAGGTGGCAGCACCACAGGAACTCCAGGCCTCTGTGCTATCCTTACCTCAGTCCTGTCGCTAATGATTGTGAATTAGGACCTCTCTGAGTCGCAGACTGTAACGAGTCCCACTTTATTTCAAGATACGTGTAGGATATCCTGTTGGTGCCTTTTGTGTTGTTATTAACCTTAGGTAGTTCCTTTACATGTATATGTTTACAAAATTTGTTGTGTCGATTTAGTATAATCTTTGCTTTAAGCTGCACATATAGGTAGCCCTTAGGAAAGCCCGCTTAGGAAAGATAGCCCTTTCCTAAGCCCTCGTTAAATGCTACCCCTGCACTGACAGTGACTTCTGGTGTGTTCAGTAGTTCCCCTGAGAGGCCAGTGGATAGGTCAGTGGGGAGGCCAGCTCTCCACCTGAAACCTGAAACTAAGAAATATTACCGGAACAACCGTGGAAATCTTCAAGAGGAAACAAGATAGTTTCCTCCAAGGAGTGCCGCACCAACCGGGCTGCGGTGGGTATGTAGGGCCTGTGGGTCGCTGCAAGCAACAGCCTAGTGGACCAAACTCTCACAAGTCAAGCCTGGCCTTGGGCCAGACTTGGGGGAGTAGAAGAACTCCCAGAACCCCATCAACCTGGTATCAACAAGGTATCTAGGGTGGAGAACTTCGCCTTGAATATGCATAAGTCTTTGACACCTCTTTAAGGCAATGTGGGGGGGGGGGCATTCAGGGAGTTCTGTTGTAAGGTGTGCTTGGGTTCATACGCTTGTTAATACAGCATGCGGCTAATGCCCTTCTATCTGTTGGAGATTTCATGGATGAATTTTTCCTGCAGCTCTGACCAGATCTTCTGGCTGCTAATCTAATCAACCAGGCTCTTTGATGCGACTGCTCGCAGTCTGACGTACGAGTCACAGTCTGGCTGATCTGGTATCCTTTGAAGTGTTGGGCCTTTGATGTTAATCAAGTTATCTCAGCGTGCCTATCGCACTTCTACTTTTCAGTGGGGCCATTTTGAACATCCTGGCATACCATGTGGTCTTATGTGGTGTCATATCTGTGTGCAGATTTGGGACCAATCCTTCTAATATTTTCCAAACTTAAATTATTATGTGTATCTCCTGCCTGTGCTCTAGGGAATACTGATTTAAAATTTGTAGATGGTCCCAATAATTTATTAAATAATTTTTTATTGAATGGAATTAGCAGTAAAAGATCTTTGTACATTCCTAAGGTCAGTAATTTATCAAGCTTTGAATGGGGCCTGTTAGTGTGCAGCAATATTCCACTCTAGAGAGCACTACTGTCTTAACACTATCGCGCACAGTGCGTGAGCGCCGCAGAATTTGAGGTCATGGGGCGGACGGTGTGGGCGAGCATGTGGCGACGCCTAAATGTGTATATTCGTTTCAGTTTTCTCACCTTAATTCTCGTGCTACATTGTTCGTTTTGGTATCATTGTGTTCGCAATTAAATTTCCTGCAGGTGTATATGCATATAATGTCCAAAAGCCTGGCGAGACTCCTCACAGCAAAGCCTAAAGTTGGAAAAGTTACCCGTGAGCGCACAAAATCAGTAAAATGTGTATACTTGTTTCAGTTTTCTCACCTTAATTCTCATGCTATGTCGTTCGTTTTGGTATCATTGTGTTCGCAATTAAATTCCCTGCTGGTGTAAATGCATATAATGTTCAAAAGCCTGGTGAGATTCCCCGCAGCAAAGCCTAAATTTACCTGTGAACGATTACCAATTTGCACACCACAACCTAATGTGTATACTCGTTCAGTTTGATAACATCAATTTTCGTGTTGCATCACTCGTTTTGGTATCAAATTGTTCGCAATATAAAGGTGCACATTTTAAAACTAGTCTCATAATAATAGAGCAATAACTGGAATTTTAACAAATATTTTAATTTTGGACGCTCATCATCACAATTATTTATATCTTTCCAGTGTTCTGACATCAATTTTCGTGTTACGTCGCTCGTTTTGGTATAATATTGTTTGCAATCTAAAGGCGCGCATTTTAAAACTAGTCCCATAATAATAATACAGAGCACCACTTGGTTTCCGAACCCCTTGGGGACGAGACCCGTCGGTTAACATGTAAGTTCGTATACGAGAAATAGAGGGGAAAAAATAAACTAGAAATGTAAAAAGAAATTTTTCCGAAAAATTTATGAAAAAAACTCTAGGGAAAAAAATCGTCAGGTTCATGGCGTAAATGCGACCGTGTTTTGTTTGTACTCATCAATAAGTGAAGTCCTGATCCGCTTTATAAAAGTCCTTAATTGTTCCTAACTGATTATTAAGACGTCTGGCAAACATCCTCTGGATGTTTCCTGCCAGCCTGCAGGCACATCCTGCCTAAAATATACGATGATGTACTGTACATTTAAGAAACAAATCTGAGTCACAGGTCTGTGGAGTGTGGTTAGGCTTACGGAGTCAGCTGGTCCCTCCCCCACCACCGACACACCTCCCCCTCTCCCCCCACCACCGACACACCTCCCCCACCCCAAACCCATACACACACACACACACACTCTCAAAGGTCACGTGGTTCACGGTTCACTTCAACACCCATATATCGCTTCCTGCCTGCCTGCTTCCTTCCCAGCCTGCCTCCTTCCCAGCCTGCCTCCTTCCCAGCCTGCCTCCTTCCCAGCCTGCCAGCCTGCTTCCTTCCCAGCCTGCCTCCTTCCCAGCCTGCCTCCTTCCCAGCCTGCCAGCCTGCTTCCTTCCCAGCCTGCCTCCTTCCCAGCCTGCCTCCTTCCCAGCCTGCCTGCCTGCTTCCTTCCCAGCCTTCCTCCTTCCCAGCCTGCCAGTCTGCTTCCTTCCCAGCCTGCTTCCTTCCCAGCCTGCCTCCTTCCCAGCCTGCCTCCTTCCCAGCCTGCCTCCTTCCCAGCCTGCCTCCTTCCCAGCCTGCCAGCCTGCCTCCTTCCCAGCCTGCCAGCCTGCCTCCTTCCCAGCCTGCCTCCTTCCCAGCCTGGCAGCCTGCCTCCTTCCCAGCCTGGCAGCCTGCTTCCTTTCCAGCCAGCCTGCCTCCCTCCCTGCCATCATGCTAACGGGTAGTGTGTGTTAGGCTTATCTTCGGGAATGAGCCGGTCTCACCCCCACCACCAACAAACCACCCGCCCCCCTACATCCCATCTCTCAAGGTCACGCGGTTCAACCGCGTGACTACCACTCACTCCCTGCCTGCAAGCTAGCCTGCCTGCCTGCCTGTGCCTGCCAGCCTGCCTTTCCCTCCCTAATTCTCACTACTTCCATCCCTTCCTGCCTACCTCCTAGCATCTCTCCCTACCTCCCCCTCCCTCTTAGCATCTCTCCCTACCTCCTACCATCTCTCCCTACCTCCCCCTCCCTCCTAGCATCTCTCTCCCCCCCTCTCTCACTGATTCTCCCCCCCCCCTCATTCATACTGCCTCCCACCTAAGCTCCATCGTCCATCCACCCACCAGTCAGCCATCACTGACGCAATGCGTGCATTTGGAGCCAACATGGTGCACAGATGTTTCTTGATTGTGCAGATATGTAAAACAAAAGCACAGAATGAACATTCCAGCCTTATGGCAATTCAAAATAATAGGAATAATAGGCCGTGAATCTGTGAAGTCACAGTGGGCAAACTGGACCATTGCCCACCCACCACCACAAGCCGGCGTGACGCTTGGCGGACCCCTTCCTACCCGAACTTTGTTCGGGTAGCATGACTCCCCAACCCCAATCGGGAAACTGGAAGTTTCGGATAACTAAAGTTCGGAAACCAAGTGGTGCTCTGTAGCACAATAAATAGAATTTTAACATATTTTAAAATTTAAAATTTAGACCCAAAAACGTATTTATAATCTTTCAAGTGTTCTGACATCAAGTTTCGTGTTACATTTTTCATTTTGATATCAAATTGTGAGCATTCTAAAGGCGCTTATTATGAAACTATCCCGAGGTCGATCAGATAACAAATTTATTTTATACAAATATTTTTGGAGTTGGACACGAGTCCTGTACACGGCTAGGACTCGAGAGAAAAAAAGTGGACGTGATCGGTGTCCAAAGCGAGCAAAAGTGTTAAAAAGTATTGTCATTGGCATGGTGTCTCTTGTTTGGAAGGTTCTTGATATCCAAATTATTTTTCTTCTTGCAATTGTGACAGCAACTTTATTATGTTCTTTAATAGTGATGTCTTCCAATATGATTACTCCTAAATCTTTTACAGTGCGTTTTCTTTCAATGGT